AACGATTTCTATGATGTCATCATTACGTCATAATTAAAAGGCCGCTTTAAACTAATTTATCATTTTTGAAACCTTTAATCCTTTCCTGAAATTGTGTGAAAAGTGCTTGCAAATCGAGTTATTCAAGACGAAGTTGTAGCCGTTTCAATGTGGCTAGGTGTGCCAGACCAAAACTACCCAGAGCCTCCTTAACTCTTTTCCGCTCTAGCATGTCAATTTTGAGAGGGTGCCTATGAATGTCCTAACTAGTCGGATTACTGACGCTCACAACTGTCACGAGTCCCCTGAGCCACTTACTTTTTCGTACGTCTGTGGTACAAGGAACAACCTCCGATTGCGCATAAGTGCCACACACACATGCGTTCAAATGTCCGACTTTGCACTCTAGCTGTTCTTCAAAATTAAATATATAGATAAGTCGTCAAGGCACTAGCCTCGGTTCCAGGCTACTCCTACCTAATATTCAAGTTTTTAACGATGTTTTACCTTTTACGAGAGATGGTATCAAATAAGGCTAGGTTAAAATATCTGTTATGGTCATAGACACAAGTTTAGTCACTAACAATTTTCTGCTCAAGATAGATAAAAAATTTTAAAAAGCAATCGCTGAAACGTYAAAATCGCTGTTAGGGACTCCAGTGATTTGCTATAGCAACCACAGGTTGTTAATTTTCATGTTCCATATTTCGAATACCAATATACTGCAAAGTTTGAATGACATTAATCAGCTACTCTCAGAGATATACTGAAATCTTGTTGAAAGAAACTGGAAGTTGAGAATATGACGTCATCAACTCCTAATTAATACTGTTATCATTCTGATGAGCTTACGAAAATACATAATTGGGCCTTGCGCATTATCTACCCTGGACAATCATAGAGCGAAGGCGAAGTAATCGATGGAATTTACCAAGCCGCGAGTCTTCGAGTGGCGGGGTAAATATCACCATAATCACTGAGCCTGAGGGGAATAACTATTTTAGTATTTTTAGTTTTAGACTTAAATATCAGGGAAAAGTCGTAATTCAGGATAAAAAACAGTTTAGTATTACTTCCCATGTGCAAAATTTTGGAAAACCTCATAATCACCGCTTCAGCGGTGATCATCGTCTCAGATTCACCGGTCGCTCGACCAATCACAGCTCGAGAAACTCTATATTCAAGTCTAAGATCATCCTAATTATACATATCAACGACATAAGATGCCATGGGGGAATTATATTGGAAGACAAAGGTGCGCGTGGAAAAAATGTTCTAGTTATTTTTTTATCGTTTTTTTTTTTGCTCTTTCGTATTACCGAGGAAATTACCTCACCTTGAATTTAAAAATAATTGAGTATTTAAATTTTTCGATTTCATTTTCACCATCCAATTGTGTACAAAAGAAATAAAATGGGTCCCAAAACAGAGCACTGTGGAACTCCGCAATCAGAACTACAGGTGGTTTAGATGTACCTACCTGATCTTTCACACAGAAAGTCCTATCGCACAAATTGGACCTAAACCATTCAAGTGCATTTCCATATATTCCATATCCGGTAGAAAGTCTGTGAAGCAGAATATCATAATTGACGCAGTATTTTAAAACTGCCGAAAGATCGTGTAAAACAAGGATGACAGAGCAATGTTTATCAATGGCATGTAATATATCATTATGTAACCTTAATAAAGCAGTTTCAACACCACTATGGCGTTTCTATATACAGATTGGAATATTTCATGCTGTTATTTCGTTAAAGATGCTCTACCAATTGAACAGCAACAACCTTCTAAAATAACTACAGAAATAAATTTTGAATTAGAGATAGGTCTGAAGCTGAAGAACTCCTCAGGAGGCAATGATTGCTTCTTCAGGATTGGTCTAATCATAGCCTTTAATGACTTTACACACTAAATATACGCTCCACCGGTCGTAATGGACTGCATAAAAAAGTAAATAAACATTTCCTTACATTTCCTAGGATTTAGTTGCATTATTAGTCGATTAATTCGACAAGATAATGTCATAGAATAATGTGACAGGAACGTAGTCAACCAGGCACTCAGCCATTTGAGCGTAAGTCTGATCTTAGTTTTTGCCAGTTATAGCATCCTTGAATTTTAAATCTCGATAGTGTTCAACGGGTATTCCACTTACCCACATCACTATATCAAAGGATATCAAAAAACGAAGTGGTTAAACCCCTAGACTAAAGTACAGAAACTTGCAGCTACACTGACCCCCTGTATATAAGGAGCCAGCCGTCTCAAGGACCAACTTAAGTCCAATAACCTTCAATAATTACTGCCCAGATTTGCTAAACTAGATGTTCCTTTCTCATACTCATTAATAATTCATGAGGAAATCAGCCAATCAATGGGCTATTTTTGGGTCACATGATGTTACTTGAAACGATAAAGTCCTATGAAAGGACTGAATTAATTAATTTTGTTCAAGTTCTTGGACTGGATCGAAATTAATTCAGTTCAGGGACACATCTGTCCCTTAAGTCTTTCAATCCTAAACAAATAACTTTCCGAATGATTACTGAGTATGAGAAGTCATTTCAAAGCCGACAATGAGGAATGGACGGGATTTCAAGTCCTTGCAATTAGTTCCAGTCCTYGGCTGCGCCTTGGACTGGAACTAATTGCGCGGACTTGAAATCTCGTTCAGTCCTCATCGTCGGCTTTGAAATATTACGCATAAATATTGTGTTTAATAAATAAAATAGTCTTTTTTCGAGATATCTAGAGATACTTATATTGATTTGTGAATACTGAAATAACAAGACAATCTCTATAGTACTAGTTGCTTTCTCATCTATTATGCACGCAACCGCTAAAACCTAATTGCGAAAAAAAAAATGCTTTTGAAATATTAATGTCATGTTCACGCCGTTTGAAATAATCTATCATACGTCATAGAAGCCTTACGATAAATGGACAAATAAAAATAATTTGATTGTGTTTCTGTTCTAGATCCCCGTGGTTACATATAATATGTAAACCTTTTATCTTATCACCGATTCACTCCATGATGGCCAAGAAGTGACTGAATTTTGCACGCCAAAGTCTGTGCTCAGCATAACTTATTAGTTTGCGGTAAGACTAAAAATAACACAAGTTGCTGCCATGGTTTTTCACCATCCAATTCACCTGTTTTGCAAATACAAGACTTTGTTTGGATATAAAGTGAATGTTTTCTCCCAGACTAGTAAATAAGACCGCCTAACGTCCTATACGACTGGAAACTATGAACTCGACCTTTACATTTCTAAACCTGGCCAGAAATGTTTACCATTCACAATCAAACAATTACATCGTACTCGTAAAATATTTAATACTCGCGGATACGGAGTTCTTATCACGCAATGAATTATTTCGGATGGCAAACAGGTTTTTTTATGCTCTTCTCTTTAATTTAGTGACTTTATTAATCTTAACTGAAGAATCGAAAGTTTATTGAAAGCATCATCTTACAACAAATAAAAATGGTATCATTTAACGAGAAAGGGTGAATATTCGGTCATCGTTGGTTGGTAAGCCATTGTAACTAGCGAAATCTACTTTAGCCTTTGATTCCAATGAATTAGAGCTGAGAGGGAGAATATAAAATGCCAACAAAATTTATTCACTAGTCAGTTATCAATCATTATTTTTAGTCAAAACTAGTGGAAGAAATTAAAAATAGAAATAAAAGGAAATTGTGAGTTTGTTTTTCTGCTTTCTTAATTATTCTTTTTCCTTGGTTCAGTGTGGACAAAGCGGATTGCAATGGCATTGGCAAACATCCTGTATGTGATCAAAAACGGTGGTAAATGTCGTTCCGCAGCTATAAAGGACATGGAGAAAGGAAATTACACACACACACGCTCACTCGCACACACACAAACACAGAATTATCAGAACCACAAATACGGTCATTTTGCGATACCGATCAAATAAAAAGTTTTATGAACAAATCAATTTGTTATATCCATGTCATTTTCAATTTTTCGGTTGATATGACAAATGCAAATGAGAAAACACTTTAAGTTAAATAGAATATGCTAGAAGGAATATTTTCATCGAAAAGATATAGGATTTTCAACATCGCATCGCTTACAATTTGTAAGCGTTCAATTGCCCTTTTTTGTAATTTTTTCATTCCTGATTTTCAGTTCCGTTTAAGGCAGAATTTTGTAATGTCAATATTTCAAGTAATCTCTATTCTCTGGGACAGAGGTAATGAGAATTATAGGCCTATTTTTAGTATACCAAAATGATAAATTCACAAAATATCAGCAATAATAAATATTTAGACCGATCCATTTTTAGTCAGGCCTCTTTTCTTACAAGTACCACTTTTAGAATATATTCATCTTGGGGCCAAAATGTTGTCTATCAATATTTTACAAGCTTGAACAATTTGTAGTGTTCAAACTCTTATAAAACATTCAAGTTGCTCTTCGGATCGGGATTCTTATCGATCGTAACAGTTTGAATCATTTAATAAAGTAAAATTCTTACATGAGTGTTATCTGTATTTTAGTTAAACTCCTCAGTGTAAATCTTGATTTTGCCTTTAATTAATTGACTTCGTTTGTAATATTTAGTAAGAGTTTCTTTTGAATACTTTAACAATTCAAATTATATTTTTTTAATTCTCCTTTACAAGGATAAAGCTAAGATCACTTTAAAATCAGTCAAAATAGACAATCAGTACAATGCCTTTCTTATGGCATTTAAAACTATTATTTTTTATTGTACGCATCGGGTGTTAAAGAGATAATCATGTTACTTTTATGTTTAGCAAAACTGTCATTTATGCCTTATTTATAAGGCTTATTTATTCTCAAACATTGTTGGAACTCACAGAAAGGCACTAAAGCTGTATGAAAAACACGCATTTTTATCGTGAAACACCAGCAAGATTCACAGTTTTCTCGGGTAACGCTGTTCTTTATTGTAAACAACAATACCATTTGCACGCGTGCGCAATGACCGTTAACGCCTTCTTCACTAATTTGCATAATGGTTATTTGTTAGGTTGTCTGGGGTTCGATTCTTTTCTATTCTCCGATCATCCAGTAAGAATGAGTACAGCTGCTAGGCTTACTCGTACTGATTTGAATGTGAAAAGCCATCTCTGTGCCTTTTACTCTTTCAACGAGTACGTTTGAAACATCAAATACAGCGACAGATAGCTTATGTGGCTTGTAAATACAGCGTTTCAAACGAAAAACCCAAGAATAACAAATTAGCCTGGTCGAATGAGCGATTGAAAGTCCCAACGTAATACCAAGTCTGTCGCCGGGAAAGCCAAGAAATCATCGATGATGTTTAATTTGAAAGTCTTGTCCATTCGCCTTGGTTTCTTATGTATATTATGGCTGGGTTTTTTTCAAGAAACTGTGTTCGCTGCAGTGGAAGAATGTGCTGTCAAAACAGAATGTAAGCCAGGAGTTATTCTTCCAGTATGGAAAGGAGACCCTTCGACGGGAGCGCGTATCGGCAGAGCTTTTGTATATCTTCTGTCTTTGTTATTTTTCTTCTTAGGCGTATCTATAATTTCAGACCGTTTCATGTCATCTATAGAAATTATTACATCGAAGGAGAAAGAAATAAAAGTAAAGGACAAAGTGAACGGCAAAGAAAGAGTTGTTACTGTCAAAATTTGGAACGAAACTGTGTCCAATTTAACTCTCATGGCACTCGGTTCTTCTGCGCCCGAAATATTGCTGTCTGTTATTGAAATCTGTGGAAATCAGTTTGAAGCGGGAGAACTAGGTCCATCTACAATTGTAGGCTCTGCAGCATTCAACCTTTTTGTTATCATTTCCGTGTGTATCTATGTTATTCCTGATGGTGAAGTCCGCCGAATCAAGCATCTTCGAGTATTTGCCATAACGGCAGCCACGTCGGTTTTTGCTTACATCTGGCTATACTTGATTCTAGCGGTGATCAGTAAAGGAGTTGTCGAAGTTTGGGAAGGTGTCCTTACTTTAGCTTTCTTTCCCCTTCTAGTTGGATTTGCTTACATAGCGGATCGAAAGCTGTTATTCTATCGAGCCTTGCGAGGAAAGAAAAGGAAGCAGAAAAGGGGGGGAGTTTCTGTCATTCAGACCGGCGATTTCGATGTTATTGGAGTTCAATTTAAAAAGGATGGCTACACCGATGGTGCTATTCCAGAAACGGATGATAGGGCCTACGCTCTCACTGAACTTGGAGGACCAGCTGACTTGGAAGACGAGTTTTCTTTACACGATTTAACAGAGGAAAGGCGCGAGAAAGCCATTCATGTGTTGAGAGAAATCCGTCAAAAGTATCCAGATGCTGACCACGAAACGGTCGAGCGACTTCTCGAACAAGAAAATTTACGACTCCAGCCGAAAAGTAGAGCATATTATCGTATCGAAGCAACGCGTAAAATGGTTGGAAGTGGTAACATGATCAAAATGAAGCATGATAAACTTGAGAAAGCTAGTAGCTCTGTAGCAGATGCTAAGCTTGAGATCCAAGATATCGAGTACGATGACCCATCTGTAGTAAAAGTATATTTTGACCCTGACGAATACGAGGTGAAAGAAAACTGTGGAAGTGTCTATATGACCATTACTCGCGCTGGTGGTGATATTAATAACACTGTTTTCGTCGATTTTAGGACCGAGGATGGGACAGCTAAGGCCGGGGACGATTACGATAAAACCGAAGGCACAGTATGTTTTAGACCAGGAGAGACCCAAAAAACCATCTCTGTCGTTATCATTGATGATGATATTTTTGAGGAGGACGAACACTTCACTGTTTCTCTTGGAAATGTTCGCATTGCAGGTCCTGATGGAGATCTTATGCGAAATACCTATCGAGGTCCGCCTGGAAAAATCATTCGAGGCGGTAAAGCTATAATAGTAATTCTTGATGATGATTACCCCGGTATGTTCACATTCGAGGAGGAGTCTGTGTCAGTACCCGAGGCAAATAAAATCGTGAAAATTCGGGTAAACCGCAACACTGGTGCCCGTGGAACTGTGCGAATACCTTATCATACTGAAGAAGGTACTGCAAAAGGCGGTGGCGAGGACTATGAGGACGCTGTAGGAGAACTCGAATTTTTAAACGATGAAACTCAGTAAGTATCTTTTTATTACATGTATTGATTTGAATTTACATTACATGCTTATGGTAAGTAAAAATAAGTGTTTGATTTCGCTTTGATGTGTCTTAAAAAAACGATCCATCGTTTCCCATTGTTTATATTATTATGCAAATTCATACTATTTTTGTAGCTAGTATATTTTATTTATTTTTTTAATCATATATGCATACTTTGAAATATATTTTTTATTCGTTGTATAGTGAAACGACTTTTAAGTAATTCGTCGTCTTGTCTATATAGCTCGTTCATTTTGAATGCGCAGTATACGTATTTATTGAGCCAGGAAATAAAAATTGAGTCGATCATTCACTACGTTTACAACGAGCGTGACACGTTCAGTAGCTTATTTGCTGTTGATGATCGAATTTCACACTCAGATTACCATACAGACACAGCGGCAGGGAAAGAGGAAAAAATTGGAACAGTATCTATTGACTACCATATTCAATGATAGCAGTTAGGCTTATTTGGGTATGTTCGTTGATATGTGTAAAATGGAATATGAATTCTGTATACATTTGGCTATGGCTATTGAATACAGCAAGTGTCCATTTATCTTTCTTTCTACTTATTTTTCATTTGATTAAGGAACGAGGATTAAAATGTGTATGTGGCAAGTCTTTTGATATTTAAATTTTCTTCTAATTGGTTATTCAGTTTTGAATATAATTGTTAATGCCCGTATTGTAATTATAAGTCTAACTGGATGTTGAATAAAAGATCAAAAGCAAAAGTTGGCTTAATATGGTATTAACTCAGAATGAGCTCATAATTAAAGCATATGACTTTTGGTCCATAATTTCCACTTCCATATTTTGATTCTGCCAATTTGTCCAACTAATTATTATTTTTTATAATATTGCTCATTACATTCATTTTCATAATATAGTGATTTGCCAATAAGAGCAACCATATATTGTACTTTTACATAGTCTGCAGATAGATGTTTGTTTGTAATATTTTATTTAGACCATTACACCAAGTGCATGTGTTCACTAAAAAAAATACAATTGACAAGTGAGATATTACAAGAGTTTCATGAGAAAGCATTGTATCTATATGACTAACGTTCGCTGTTGTCAAGTTCTCTATTTATTAAGTCTTGTCAGGTCGAACGCATAGTATCTTATTGTTGTGAATATTCTGGGCACACCTCAAGATTTCTTCCTTTGACCTTTATTGCTTATAGAGAGTGTCCAGAAACATTATCCACCAATTTCATACTTCAAGATTAGGACTCAATTCTCAAGTGTCTGTTTAAAGCGTCTCAACTTACTTCCTCTTCCTTTTTGGCTTGAAATCAAGGATTTACTTTTCTTCTATAAATGTAGTTTTGGTCAGTATGAGCTCTACATTTCAAACTTCATAACAAGTTCTACTGCATGCTCTAGACCTTTTCGATTGACTTCCTCTAAGCTTCTACAGCCCAGCCATTGCAAGACTATACTTTTCAGGAACTCTTTTTTCAACTGCATTGTTTTTCCATAGAATGTTTTGCTGTCTTCAATTCCTAACTGCTCTCCTTCTAGCTAGGATAACGTTCAAAATTCTTCTTTCCAGACACTACTTTTCCAAACTTGACACTACATTTGACATTAATAGAACTAGAACCTATAAGACATATGATATTATCACCTGCTGCTAGTAGGTTTTGATAGATATGCCCATATTTTTCTGTTTTTAATGTTTTTTATTAGTTATCATTCTTGACTTCTCTCTGTTCTGTATAGCTTTAATTAGCTTTAAATACCCGCAAAAAGGAGCACTGATAGTAAGAGATTATCAAAGTAAAACAAACTACCTTTACCTTGTAGTATTAAAGTGCCTATCAAACATAACTCAATATTTTCAGCATTGATTCTACATGAAGTGAATAGCTATGAATTGTAAAATATTTTTWATATGATTTGAGTGATGCATCTTGGAATAATCAAGGGTTATCTTTCATGATGTGACGTCAAAGGAGGCAATTTATTAAATATACAAAAATTTTCTGGGGTAGTAAATTATCCTGTATATAAAGCAGCATTGTTTTACTTATGGTTTATAGAAAGGTTATTGGAAGTTTTTTTTTCTCATAGTAACCAGTGACTCAATTAACAAATGAAGACAAACTCAAATGTCTCCTATGATGTCACACCCATAAACATAATTATTGCAAGTATATATAAACCTCGTAAAAATACTTTACCATTATTCTTCTATTTACTTCAATGCTGAAAATTTTGTTTCAGGTGTCATAGGCACTTTAAGTGTTTGTAAAAAGTTTATTTTGGAGTAACTTCTTATTGGACTCTTGACTTATTGTTCTTTACCTCAACTAGTGTTTTTCTTTATTTAATTTTAAATACTTACTATATAGCTAATAAATAAATAATTATATCCCCCTTCTCGTTTATTATCTAATGCAGTCCCTTAATTGATTATATAAGCTGCTTGCATATGTTCATTTTGATCATATTTTGTCATATTTCAGCAAATTTATTGAGATTGGCATCATTGATGATGAAGATTATGAAAAGAAGGAAAACTTCTTTGTAATTCTTGGAGAACCACAACTTGTCAGAGATGAGGATGATCCCCGTCCCTTATCAGATGACTATGATCCCGAAAAAGAGCGTATTGAGGAACTAGGAAAGCCGAGGCTCGGTAAGGTCATAATTCATATTTTTAATAGGGCTAGTATGCAATTTCAGATTTATAAAATACCATTGGGTTCTTAATTGCTTACAGACTCATTGACTCAAGGTTAGCCTCATTTCAGCATCAGAATATTGACAAATGAGGCTAACCTTGAGTCAATGAGGTCACTTTTTTACCTTTCCACCAGCATGGCCACCATGTCTAAATGTCTTTAATTTTTATCGTCTTGGGAATGGTTGAAAACTATACCAATTGCCTATATGTCCAACAGATATATAGGCAATTGGTATTAGTATTTGGGCCATATGCGTTCATACTTTGAAAAAATATACAGTTTTTGCAGATCTTAAACGGTAGATAAGAATGCAGTCAATGAAAGATGCCGTTCTCTAGGGTGTAGCTTCCATTGCTAAGAGTATGAATAATATTAGAAAAAATTGAACTTGACTTACATATATGGACATTATAATATSTGACAAAGACTCACAGTTCTTCAATCGGAAATTTCTAGTACATTTTTCAAAAACGTTTTAGATCTGCTATGACTATTGATCTTTTGAAAATATTATAGGCAAGTTAACCATTATTAAACAAAACAAAAGAAAAGTGGGGACAAGTATATATTTATTATAAATCTGATAATATTATTTAATGTTCTATTCATGAGATGCAAGATACTTAATGAGATGCAGAATGTAAAACATGCTTTATAAGAATATAAATACGATTGCTTAACAACAAAATTTTGTAGAAAATATTTTTTTCACTTTTTTTAACTTGACTTTGTGCAATACTTATTTGTCAGACAATAGAAGGTAAATAAGACCAAATAAGCCTTTTCATAGTTTAAGAATCGATTCCACTGCACATGCAATTTTATTCCGAATTTCTTACCTTCTTTTGTTTAATTAAGAACAAAAGAAGGTTTAGACAAAAGAAGGTGAGAAATTCGGGATAAAATTGCATGCGCAGTGGAATCGATTCTTAAACTATGAAAAGGCTTATACTGGTAAGTTAAGTTTTAAGTTTTTTGCATCTCATTTTGATATCTTGCATCTCATTAGATTATCAACAGATATGCAAAACTTAAAAAGTAACTTATTTGATCTTACTTATTTTCTATTGTATCAGAGACAAGTTTTTCGCACAAGTGAAGTCAAAAAATATTTTCCACAAAATTTAGTGGTTAAGCAATGGTATTTAAGCGTGTTTTACGTGCTGCATCTAATTTGATTTCTTGCATTTCATTAGATATTTGTATAAATCTATTTAGTCGAATCAAACTAGCGGTCTATCGTTAATGCTGAGTTCTGATTGGATGAGCTACTAGTAGACTATAAGTCATAGCCTACTAGTAGTGAAAAGTGTAGGCTTTGAAAGCCAAACAATTCGAATTTAACTTGAATTTGGATTCGGTATTCTGCCTCATGGGCTATATTGACTCAAAGCCCATTCGTGCTCGAGGACTAATTGCTAAATATTGCTATTAGTATATGTAATAGGACTCCATGACGAGAAAAATTCTGAGGACTTCCTAAATTGGATGAGACCATAGGCTGAGTCCAATTTGGTAGTCAGAGAAATTTTTCGAGTCTAATTATTTCTTGATTGGGAAGCATGAAATCCCATTACCTATTAATTATATAGCCACCTAATTAATCCCATATCAACAAGACCTGTCCAATTAATAAAATTATTGGACAGTTACCTATATGGGATTAATGAGAAGCTGTATAATTACTATAATAATTGCTATTGTTGGTTGAGTTTTTTGTTTTGTTTTGACATTTGATAATTTTTTATGTTAAATTTACCAGGTGAAATTTCCAAAATCGAGGTGGTTATTATTGAAAGTAAAGAATTCAGGAACACAGTGGATAAGCTGCTTGCTAAGGCCAACCTTGCGTTAGTAGTTGGGACATCTTCTTGGAGAGAGCAATTTAAAGATGCTCTTACTGTTGGAGGTAGTGGAGAAAATGARAGTGAAGAGCCTTCCCCTCCGAGTTTTGGAGACTACATGATGCACTTCCTAACCGTGTTTTGGAAACTGCTGTTTGCTTGTGTTCCACCCACAGATATTTGGGGTGGCTGGGCATGTTTTGTTGTTTCCATTATAATGATTGGTGTTCTGACTGCATTTATTGGAGACTTAGCTTCACACTTTGGATGCACTATTAGCCTTTCAGATAGTGTTGTTGCCATAACATTTGTTGCTTTGGGAACAAGTCTTCCAGGTACAGAATTCTTATGCAGAAAACAAGAAACTAGAAAATACTAGTATATAGTCTCATGTTTATCTCATGTTTATATACAATAAAAACTATGTATGCTTGTAAGGGCGGACCCAGCCAAAATTTTAGGGGGGG